CTCATATTTAGTTGTTGCTACATAGTGCTTGCTCTTAGTCAAGGCCTCTGACTCATTCTCTGCTTTTAAGCAGGTGCACAAGAAGCTGGCAGGGACCATAGCCAGGACATCTAGCTTAGGGTTGTTCTGGACCATAGAACATCATTTCCAGTGCATAAATTGGGGGGAGTTGGCTCAGAGGGGCTGATAGGCACTCAGGGATGAGCTGGGCATTGGTCAGCAACTGGTGAGCAATTATATTGTGTATCACTTATCTTCCTTGGGTTTTATTTCACTCTCTTTATTGTTATCTCCCTTTCCATTACTATTATTACTGTTGTATTGTTATAATATTCTATCTTATTTCAATTATTAAGCAGTTCTTATCTCAGCCCACAAGTATTAACTTTTTTCTGATTCTTCTTCCCATCCCACCATGGGTGGGGGGCGGTAAGTAAACAGTTGCTTGGTACTTAGTTGCTGACAACATAATGGCTAACACACCAGTTATTAAATTTTAAACTATTTTCCCTTTTTCTTTTTTGGTAGATATGGGGCTAGTTGGGAGGGAAAATGATTCATTAGTGTCTCTGTGTGGAGACACAGAGGAGTACAGAAAAAATATAGTGGAAGGAGAAATTACACTGAAGATTTTGTCACCTTCAGAAATGATGTAGTTTCAGATCTATATTTCACTCTTTGGTTGTATCAGTGAATACTTGGTATTGAAATAAAAACATGACTCTTCAATTGTGGTTGGATTTCCGTCATTTTATCTGATTAACAAATATAGAAAGGTCTTGTCTATCAAGTGGTTTAATAACTTTGTGGTATAAATGTCAAGTAATGGCAGAAATTTTCACTTCTGTGCTGATATACCTGAGTGTTTAACTGACAAAAAACAGTAAGGGAACAACCCTTGTCTAAATTCGAGGGATGAGCAGAACACAAGAGCAACACTTAAGGCATTACTAGACACTTTGGTCTGAAATATATCCAGCCAAATTCACACTGTGCAGTGGTAGGGGTGTATAAAAAGGAAAGAAGGCATGGTGGTCAGCCACCCTTTTAGAGATGTTTTAGAGCCTAAGAATGTCAAATTGAAATATCAACACCAAACAAAAGTGCTTTGCTGCAATATCAGTGTCAGCATGGTGACACTGAATGCAAATTTGCCTTAAAAGATTAACAATTTCTGCTCACTATACATCCACTCAAGTACAAATTTTAAAGTAACAATAATAACCACCTTTTCCCCCAAAGAAGGGGGGCAATTGTTTTAAAGGAGGCAACTTTAGAAATAAATGCTGCTCTTATTTATCAAGTCTGGTAAAACAGGGTGCAATTGGAGAGATGAAGGAAGAATTCCCTCAAGACTTAGGTAGATTTCTGGCACATGAAGGGAGAGGTCTGACTTTCCCCCTCAGGAAACCAATGGAGTCCCCAGCACAAAGAGCTTCCCTGGGAGCTAGGGCAGGTAAACAAGGTCTCTGGACTATGAAGGATTCTGACTGCAGGAAATGTCTCATGAACCCCACTGAATGGTAGTTTCTTTTCTCTGTGAGGTCTAAACAGCTTCTTACCTTTCACCAGGGAGCACGGTGCCTTTTAGCACAAACTAAACCTGACAACTTGAAAGTAGCAAAAAGCTCTGCTCTCTGAATCTTTTGACCTGGCCCTTTATACTGTAATGTCCCAAGGCAAAATTCCTTATTTCTTTGCCACTAGAAAATGTTTTGCACTTCAGAGAGACCTTTGAGTTCCTTCAACCTGTACAGAAGCTGTGGATTTGGGTAATGACTGAGCGAGACTGTCTCCCACATCGTCATTCTGTTTTGATATTTTTGTTTGTTTGTTTCTTGTATATGTGAAGCCACTGACTTGTGATCTAACAAAATAGAAATAACAGCTTCTCTTTTTGGCTGATGGGTGGATTTCTGAGATGAGCATTAGCACCTACCCAATGCAGACATGGAGGGCAATGTTGATGTGCTAATGCTCAGAGCAGATGGATGAGTGAAGCAGACATTTTCATGATAAGCTTAAGAAAATTTGTGATCATAGGGTTAAGAGACTAACACTAAAATCAGAGGCTAAGCTGAAGAAAGATCTGGAATGAGAGGGTAGAGAACTTGCTCCTGCTAAAGGCCAAAGGTGCCATGCAGACTCATTTGGTAAGTGCAACACCTCTTAGAGTGTGGTGGCAGGAGCAATCCAAACCCAGTGTGGCCACAGGACTTAAAAAAGGGAATTGTGGGCCTAGTCACTCGCCTGAGGTCAAAGGTTCCCTAACAGAGATTTAAGAGTGCACAATTACAAGCAGGTCAGGCTGTGCAAATTTTTGTTGCCTGCAGCTGGGAAAATATAAAGTCATGTTCCCAATTTACAATTTGCTCCTGACATTGCTGATAACACTTAAGCAATAGTTCTTATAATAATTTACTCATCATGCTCAGATTTGGCTCCAGACTTTTCTTGTATTTGTATATATTTAGAGTCGCTCATACCTAGAGTTTGTTAATTACAGCTTTTGAATCTGTTCACCTTAGAATTGCAGACAGCCTTTTATTTAAAGTATCAGTAGGAACATAATAAACAAAGAAAGAAAAATAATCAAACATAACTGCCTTTAAGCTGAACCACATAATGTTATATTGGATATCTCATCAAAATTTAAAGTGATTAGAAAAGAGTGATTATATTATGACAGTTAAAGCCAAATGCTTTCAGCTTCTTATTGGAAATAATCAAATTGCATCATGTTACTCCCTTAATCCCATTAGGGCTTAGAGAATATTAGTTTATTCACAACCTTCTTTCATCTAACACTAGACAAAACCCTGTATTAAATCATTAGTCAGAGCAGCTTTGTTATTCTAGATCCCAGTTCCAAGTTTCTCACTCCCACTGAAAATGGCCTGTTTTAATAACTGACATTAATATTAGTATTTCTAGAAAATTAATAAGAACATTTATTTTACTTGTAATGTAATTAATTATATACTAATAGTCTCAGTTGTTTTCAATTTTAAGAGACGTGTTTTTAGCCTTCTGGAAACTAAGGTTTTGAAAGTGATACTTAGGGTTATATTCAATCATATTACAAGTCATGCTTATTTTGTGGTTCACCCTTTTCCCAGAAGCCTCGTATTTTATCCTTTCCATATTGTTATCAACACAGAATCTTTCTCAGTCCCCAGAAGGCTTGTTTTAAGCTACTTGTTTGCAGTTGGTTTCAAATATTTTCCTACAATATCCTTCCATGCTGTACAGAGCAGCTACTCACCAGATGCCAGATGCATGAAGTGCTCTTCAGTTGGCTCCTTGCCTCAAAATTACTGATTTCTATGCCAAAAAAATTTCTAATTTTTGGACTTCATAGCTGTTGATTGTGCTGTTACCTCAAGGCAGTTGTTACTGGAAACTGTCCAGGCATCAGTGACTACTGTCACAAAACTTTAAAAAAATTCTCAATCCCTTTCTCATGTATTTTTCCTGGAATGTCTAAGGCTGAGCAACCAAACCTTAGTAGTAGTAGGTAATTGTGGAAGGCAGAACTTTCTGCAGAGCTCATGTGTGGCTTTCATAATCTTTGAGAACTACATTTTAACAGCTTCTTTTACATCTTAAGTAATGTTCTTTTATTATATTTTTCTCAGAAATTATTTAAACCTGTATGATACTGTAGGTATAGTTCATAGAAATTACTTTCTTGGCTACTGCATCAGGCCCTTTTTATTATCTCAGATGATGAAAAATGTATAAAACTACAGCACAGTTTCAAATTTTCTCCATAGCTAAGGTGTCTTATAGGTGACATCTTTAGGACTCTCCTACACATTATAAGTCATAGAACTGAAAAATATGAAGATAGGACTGCTTAGCGTAAAATGCTACACATTACTGAGCCTAGAGGAAAAACTCTATAGTGCAGAAAAAGATACCAGTAATGTTTTGTTTGCTACATTTGTATATATCTATTATGACACAGCCTTCAATTACATGATCATGATCATGGCATGATCTTTATGCTTATTCTGATCTCTCAAGAATTACATACAAAGGAAGATTTAAGGTTTCTCAAACAACTGTAAATGCTAGAATTTTTACTGTCTTCTTTGCAGTAAACTATAATTTATTGTATTTTTGTATGTAATAGTGGTAGATATGATGGAAGTATCTTTCCTAGTTTAAAAATTATTAATACTGCTTATCAGTTTTCTTGGATTCATCTCCCTTATTCTAATTTATGTCTTAAAAGCCTCTTTTTTCCAACTTCTTCATATCCTACAGCAGATGTTTTGCTGATCCTTTTCTCAGAAAAAGCAGAGAACACAAAAGCAACTACTCTGCAGGAGCACAATCTGATCCCTTTAAGGGCTTATTTTAAGCCTCCCATCAGAAGGATTTTGTGGGAAAGCACCTGAGGAGTGAATACTTCTGATTTGCAGGGAGCTGCTTTCTCTTGTGAAGTGATGATTAGAGCAAGATGCTGGGGAGCTGGCCATCCCTCCTGTTGTTCCAGTCACAGGAACTACACACAAGGATGGAATACAGGCCAGAATATAATATTTGACAATATTTATTTAATGAAAAGCCCATAGAGAAATTCCATAGGTAACATACATATACACCTGTGTTGGGTAAATCATTGAATAATCCCTAAAATAAGCATCAAGGTAGAGCTTGCCAAAAACGACCGTTGTTCATTTGCCTGTCTGCATTTCAATTCATTTTACAGGAGACTCTTCTTGGTGTGAATTTTTTAGAGTTAACATAGATATCTTATTTTTTATCTGATGCAATGCATTAAAATAAAGTTGGATAATCTAATCTATAGCCCATTCTGTTTCTAAATAAAATTATCAAATAAAGTTACTTTAATTTGTATGCTGACTGTTCTGCTTTAGGGTCTAGCTTCCTCAGTGCTAACTGGATGTTTACAGGTGTTCAGTCTTCTCCATGCCAACCCTGCAGGTCAACTACACCAAATAGTTTTAGACACAGATGAGAATAAGAGAATTTACCTGCTATTTATTTGTATTGTTTCTTAGGAAAATACAGAATATTCTTGGATGGTGGCTAAAGAAATTATGTTTTCTCTCTTGCATGTTACCAGACGTAACAGACAAGATAAATGACGTGTTCATCGAGTTGTCCTATTCACTGAGACATTTCATCTGAGAAACTCCTGAAAATATATTGGAATGCATCCCCACCTAGGAGTGTAAGTCCATGCGTAGTTAGTTTTTTTGCAATGCTTCTTCTTTTTTTCTCAGAGGTCAGTGTGTATATGATCAGTATTCCTGAATGGAGGTACTGTTTTCATTCACAACTTAGAAAGATCTCCTGCAAAGAAAAAAGGTTAATTATTTAGATTCTCACATGTATAATAAAGATTATTAAGTACAGACAGGCCTTAGCCAAAATGCCTATCAGGTTTTTTGATGTGAGTTTTTAGGTCAGAGCCAGTAGACATACAGATGTTTTCCTGTCTGGATTTGAATGTGTGTAAATCCTGAGATTCAAACAAACAAGTTTGGATCTTAATTTTCCATCTTTACCCATCTTTCTAAATAGATTTTTTTATCTTGCTGCACCAAAAAAAAAAAAAAAAAAAAAAAAAAAAAAAAAAAAAAAAAAAAAAAAAAAAAAAAAAAAAAAAAAAATTAAAACTGGCCTTTAGGAACCAATTGTGAGGCAATAGGACAGATCTTTTCAAAGAAAAAAACTACAACTACAATTTAAAAGTGCACTGTCAAATTTTTATTATGTACAGATTAAATATTGCTTCAATTTATTCTGAAGCTAGTAGACTGCAACATCTTTGTTATTCTTGTTACCATTTTTATTATATTAAAGAGAAAAGGGAACTAAACATGAACTGAGTGGACTTGTCAGCACTGTCAGTGTATTTCTGTGTAGATTCTGTGTGAAAAAGATGAAGAAATTCTGAGAATAAAGAAGTCTGACAAAGTGCAGGAAACACTTTACCTCACTATTCTTCCTCTTTCCATTTTTTCCCCCAAATCTTTGTTTGGTTTCCCTTTTTTTGGCAAAAATGATAGAATGAGCATATGTGTCAAGTTGAATAGAGGAATGACTATTTATAGTCCTATTTAAAAAAAAAAATCACTCTTTGCTGAGTAAAACAACTAAGAAAACTGAAGTCTTAGAATAATCAGAAGCATTTGTTTGACATGAAAATATATGTACATGAAGTACAGAGGTAGTATCATGAGTACTAAAGTAGGAGAGTGCCTCTGAAGAAGAAGAGGCAACTTGCATTATGGTGCAAGCCCTTGCTTCTTTTACCTTAACCCTCAAGAGCGCTGACACCCTTATGTGGACTTTATCCTTGCACCCTTACAGTGATCTTAGGACTATATTTTGGTTCATGCTTTCATTCAGTACCTCCCCAAGTGCACACTGCAAAGAGGGACCCATTTCTCTGCTTCTCTCCCTGGAAGCACCTCGAAGATCAATATTTCCCCTTTGTATTAAATTTAGTGTCCAATTGCTGCAAAAGCAACAGAGGGAAGACAACTGGTCTCTTGTTTGGAGATGAGAAGAGGCTAAAGTTGGTCACACCACCTAGGCAAATCAAAAGGTTTCCATAGGTTCCTTCCTTTGGGAGTTGTGGGAATCCAGAATTTTTCCCAAAACCGAAGTCAGTACAAGCCACATGTATTTTTCAAATGTCAGTTCAGTAAGTTACATAACCATAAGAAACATACAGATGAGTTTCATATTCCTGCAAAATAATTCACACACACACGCAAAATTATACGAATACATCATGGCACCAAGTCCTGAAATACTGAGATGTGTTCAGAACTCTGGTATTTTCCCCATATAGGACAAAGAAAGCAAGCTTTTCTTTCTTTGTTTGAGGATTTTTTGTTTGTTTTATTTTGGTTTTAAAGACATTTTTAACTTAAAAAAAAGTCAGCAACAAATACCACAGAGGCTGAACTGGAATACATAATGTACTTTTGTTTCTAATAATCCAAATACAATGTCTACACTTACCATAAGAATCAAGGTTTCTTTTAATTGATATTTTAAATAGGTCTGCCAGAATAGATGTTTTATTGAAGAAGAGGAGAGGGGACTTTCAATTTAAAGAAATTTAGAAAAACATTTTCTGAAAATAAATTTGGATATAAAAGACATTATGAATGTTTCTTAATAACAATAGCTGTACTCCAAAAGAAATAGCTAATTTAAACATATTATATCAATTCAAATATTGATCCTTATGGTTAAACACAACTATAAAACTATATTTTATATAAAATCTTTTTCTATATTTTAAATAGAAAGTTAGCTGGTTTTCCATAGGAGATTTGTCTATATAATCAGAAGTCACCCCAGGTCTAAAAAAAAAAGATAATCAGATCTATTGATGCTTTATCTTTTTTATGCCACATGTCAACTACAGACACAGCCTTCAGCATTATGACAAAAAGAGTCTATGATATGAGGTGTCTTCCTTCCCCCATCTTGCTCCCAGAAAACATTATTACTCAGAAATTTTCACAGCTGGAAAGAGGGTAAAGAAATATTTGAAGGCAATTATTTTCAAGTAATTGATAACTCATTTTAATTAAAATATTTCTGAAACTGCATCTGGGCATTTAGTATGTAGAGTGCAGTGCACAGTCTGCTATAATGTGGAGTACTACAAAATGGAAAAAAGAACATCCATGCTGTGTAAACACATTTTCAGTGCCTGGAAAATTCTCTTGCATGAATAGTTTTGTGTTGTGCCAGGTGCTGGCACCTCTGCAATCTTTCCTGCAGTAGTTTATGCCTTTGTCTAAGCTGGGGTGATTGCGCACAGTGGTTTATACAGTGACGAATTGCTCTTCGCATTTACAGGTCTTGGTACACTTGTTAGGTTTAGCACTGCTATATAAAGCATTAAGCTTATTACACCCAAAAGAATTAAATTATACTGAGGCAATTTGATTACTTGTGTCTAAAGGAAGACACAATTGCAATGAGGCAAAAGCTTGAAGTGAATGTTGTTAACAGTAATGCTTTGCAATTAAAGAAATGTAATTTCTCAAGCATTTTCATGAAATATGTTTTCCCTTTTATTCAGTTCATTTGCCATCCCTGTAAAAATGTCTTTTGACTTGCAGATGTTTTAAAGTATGAAAGCTGATTGAGCTTTTTAATCTTATTTCAGTGTTTATATACACTACACAAAATATTGTGTTCTCAGTCTGTATCAGAAATTCTGGATTTGTTGGATTTCTTTTAAAATGTTAAATGATAGACATCTTAGTTTAATATTTTCTTGCAACATCTAGGTCTGTGTGTGAACTGTAATACAAAAAATATAATAGCAGTTACTAATTTCAGTCTGCCAAAATTAAGCCTGTGATGAATGGAAGGTGGTTGATATTTCATTAGCATTATTTTCAGTTGAAGCAAATGTAAAACATAAGTGCCTCATGGTGGTCTGCTAACTGCTGGAGAAGAAAGAAGACTGCTGAAGTAACAAAGCAACACTGGGCAAATCAACAGATCCCTGCAGAAGCAGGTTACTAAAAATCAGCACCTCGCCTTCAGAAGCAGGTAGTGATGCAGTGATGGCAAGTGCTGTCTCATGAGCAGCCTTCACATCACAGCTATTTTCAGCAATATATAATTTGATAATAATTTTCATCTCAGCACAGTTTAGCATATTTATTCCTCCATAAGTTTTAATTCCGCTTAAGAGGAATGATCCTATCAACATAAAGAGGTCATAAGGATTGCCGCATGATCAGATTAACCTCTCTTCGGCTTCATTGCCTCCAAGCTTTAGATCACTTCTCCTTGATTTTTGAAACAGTTTGTGTGCTATTTCCAGGCTACTCTTTCCAACTTGTTGACATTACACTACATTTATTTAATATTATCAATTGTTTTACTTATATCTATTAATATTTATAGGCCTATTCCCACCATATAGCCTGATTCCACAAGGATAACATTACCTAGACACTACGTTTTAGGGCTTTTCTCCCTCTTTATTTTTGTGACTTTTTATTTTGTAACTAGTTGGTTGTACCATACATAAAAAGAGTTCACATTGGCATTAATAATGATCTCTTTCCTTCTTCACAAACTGAGGTGAACAAACAGCTGTTTGCAGAACAGCTGATTGCAGAACTAGAGCCATCAGAAGATCCCTTAAGACTAAAGGGATACAGATTTGTGAATCTTAGCTTGCTGTGAGAGAAGTTTGTAAATGTTTGCTACGGGGTTTGAAACAATAGAAGTGAATTTCCTACTGTGATTGCTTACAAGAACCCTACACCCTCATTCTTTCTCATTGCCTCTGTTGAGTTTGAAACACCTGATTCCTGGGGGTTTTATTTGGAGAACTTAGAGAGAATGTTGACTTTGTTTCCATCCAGGATAAAAATATGTAATGAAAGAAAACAGACATGACTTAGGGTTTTGCCTAACCAGGGTTTATGCAGTATGCTTATGCTTCAGGACCTGCTTAAGAGTTTTTTAAATTAGTGCCGTTGTTATCCATATGTTTGCTTGAGAGATAGCCAGGCAATGATTCCTTAACAACATTTCCATGAGAACTCTTCTGTTTTGTATTGTTTTACAGACAGTAATAACAGTTCTTAAAAAAAAAATTGGTAATCAATATATTGCTACTGGGTTTTGATATTGTTAATTACCTGTATTGTTAATTGTGTTTGTATTTGTAATATGGTATATTAAGGAATGTATGGTATCCCATAAGTGCTAGATTTCAGGCAGGATGTTCAATTTAATTCTGACTTTTCAAGGCCCAGGTTCTTAGGATAATTCAAATCTTTGTATTAATTATCATGCAGAATATAAATTGATGTCTATTTATTCAATCTGTATAGCTTCAAGTGGAATAAATAACACATGGGAAATGTGCTATTCAAAATCTGAGCCTGAACTGTGTTGCAGTCATTGTGCATGAAGCAAATTTATAACTATTTTGAGCAGAGCTGGATTCAAGCAGTTTATTTATGTATGAGACTCGCTTATTTCAGAAAATCCACTGAGCACTAATCCTGACTTTGTTTCAGTTGACATTGAAAAAAGAAAAAGAAGATTGCAGTGCTTTCTAAAGTGTTTACTTCAAAGGCTGGAAACCTTAACCCATGCTCAAATTAAGAAATTTTATTTTGTAGAAAAAACTTGGAGATGTGGAAGTGTTCATTTTTTCTAGCAAGTCTGAAATATTGCTGTTTCTGTTCAACCCAAATAAATAATTTCTCTTATGCTTTTCCACCTTTCTTTTTTAACTCTTGAAAAATAAAAGAGTCTGTATTTAAGAACAGGTCTCAATTTGCACACTAAACCTGCAATTTTCCATTGTGTTTACAAGTCAAAATTATTTATATCTACTAATTTCAATCTCTGTGTTTGTTTACTAACAGAGCAAGTGTCACTCTAGGTAAAACTGCCTGTAAGTATTTTCAGAAGAACTATTAAAAAATTAATTGTTTTTATTACATTTCATTTCATATCACTTCCCAAGTATTCAGTTTAGACATCCTGAGCATTTTCTTGAAGAATATAATTTCATTTCAGTATGAAAGCAATAAAAGAAGATATTTATACTTCTGGATTTTTTGCTTGTTTTTCTACTGTTTCTTGTTTTCTCCATGTCTTCAAAATAATCAAAGTTGTGTGTGATTTCATGAATGTGTCTTTGTGTAAGATACAGCTGCAGAAGAAACAAAATGGATTCTGATGAAGGGTGAGGGAGGTACTTTCAATGACTGATGGCTTTGTATTGTTGCCTGTCTGCTCAACAGCAGTGCATTAGACAAAAGAAATCAATAAACGAAGACTTTAAAAAGTGAGATAGAAAGGTACAATAATGATACTGGTACAAATTCTCTCTACCTCTTCAGAGCTATAGATAAAAGTGTTTGAATATTGGGTAGATTAGGATAAGGATGCTTGTCAGGAATAAAACATAGATAAGAGGATAAGAGGTTTCAGTGGAAACCACAAATATCAAAAATCCTGCAAATAGCTGGAAGCTTGAAAAGAAAGAGGAAGCCATCAAAAATGTGCCATTGATACCAGTTCAAAACAACAAGATGAATTTTTGTTTGTTTTCTTTTCAGTGGAGGGATTTGCTCACAAAGAGGATTTATTTATTTATTACTTTTCCCAAAGGCTTTTTACCTTGCAAAAAGTAATATAAATTACTTGGTTTCTAAAATCCTGTGTCAGCACAAACATGCTGTGACAAGTTTCCCCAAGGAAAGTCCTGTAGGGTCCAAATCCCAGCTGAAATTCCTGAGTGAGCCATGCTGAATGTTTGCTACCTGACTGCTGGTTGGAGTGACTAGATTTCAGAATACTAACTTGAAAGGTAGAAAAGCCTGAGGATCTGTACATCTGGCAGTACAGGTGGCTGCTCATTAAACCAAGGAGCACCAATGGAGATTTATTTTGAATTCTATCACTCCTTACAAAAATATTATGAAATCGCAAAAGTAACCTTCACTGGTTATTTTCTATTGAATTTGTATTAATCAATATCTCTTCCTGAACTGCATTTAAATTAACAGCCTTGAGCAGTTTGTAATTGATCCTGCAGGTCAGCTACCCTGATGCACAGCACACATTGACTTTCCTCCCTAGTGATGTTTCGTCTTCCAATGTAAACTGGAATAAAGGAAATAAAGACAGAAGAAGAAAGAAAATTATATTGAATTGAAGCTCACCTTATTCCACCGCAGAATGCAGCCACAGCCTGCACCTAGGCTCAGGGTCTAACAGCACCTGCAGTTTGGATGAACCATTAATTCCAACAGAAGCAGCATGACACTCAGAGTTGAGAAGGACAGTCACTTCTTTTGAAATTGAGTGATTTCTGAGAATGATAGAGGTTGGATATTAGATAACCAACACAAAATCCATAGTTTTCTAAAAAAACAATACTCTTCCAAAATCACCCCAGCAATAGTTTCAGTTACAAAGAACACAAGGCATAGTGTCACCAGCTTGCTGTCCTGATTATTTTCTTGAGCATCAGCTTGAAAAAGATTGAGTAGTTTCCATCTGTGTGCATCCGTGCATCTGTTAAGCTAAATAGATTGAAGGGATTGCAAAATACTATCAGGCAAAGCACTGATTTCTGTGCTTTTTATAGATGGAAATGACTTGTTACTCAAAGTAATTTTTTTATTTCATAAAGGAAACACAGGTAACTTAAAATACAGAGTACTGTGCAAAGCTTAAGTTATGTCATCCTTATCAAGTATCTCAGAAAACGTGTATTATGTCTGCTGTTTGGATACATGCAAATACATTATCAGTGTGAAAGAACCTCAAATAAATGAATATATCAAATATTACCAATACTGGATGTTCTTACACCAGGTGAATACCAAAAATTTCCATGAAAAGCCTAGTCTTAATAATATTAATTCAACAGCAAAAAGGATATAATAGTATTTCTTTTCCTTCCCCCATGACACACTTTGTCATTTTACATAAATTGGTACTTTATGTAAAATTCTGCTCTGGGTTTGCATATAGCTTAGTGTAAGAAATTATTGTTTATCAGACTAGGCACATATGAATCATTGTATGATAGTTTGGTGCATGCATACATATATACATATATATATATGTGTATATGTATATAGATATAATGCAGCTGTAATAAGCCTGGAGAGGATCACAGGAGGTGGTTGCAGCCACCACAAGCCTAAACAATCTAGAGAATCATCTTCACATTTAATGCCATTCATCATCCTGCGTGAATTATGTTAGGGAATCAACTATTTAGCTGCTTGTGGATAGAATGTACACAGGTGTAAAAGAACAAACTCATCTAAGTCAGAGCATCAATTACCATAACAGGAGTAAAATGGCACAAATATATCTGAAATTATTGTTATTTTCATTTTTATAAAAGTAGTTAAAGTAACCTGCAGCCATGATTTTAAGGTAATGATATTTCCAATCATCAGGAGATGTATTATTTTAGGCTTAAAATCCTAAACTGGCAGTTTTCTTTATTCTGCTCTGCCTACAATAGAAAAATTTGAAACGAATGGCAAAAAAACCCAATGAGCTGTGTTTCTTCCATCTATATAGTTACAAAAGGAAGGAAAACAAGGGGAAAATACACATAAGTATCTATCAGATTCTGCCCTGATCAAGAAAATTGCCTCATTGTGTCTATTATAAATGTTGTCATGACTCTGGTTCAAATTTTGGTCTGAAACAATGGAGACCATGAAACATGTATTTGCTACTTATTGAGAATGGTCCTCTTTAACAAGTATTATCTAGCCATAACTTTCTGGCCCATGGATTGCTGAAACAATTGTTACTGGGGAGAGGTTCTGACAGGAAGACTAATATCCCAAAGTAAATTTGTTTTCAGGTTTCTTTTTAGAAAGGCTTTCTTTTTTCAGTTTATTGCAGAAGGATTGTGTGATGGGGGACGTGGACATTTCCCTGCATGTGCTTTCCCTGAGGGCTTCACGGAGGAAGAATTATTGTAAACTCACAATATGCTCCATGGAGCCAAAAGACAAGAAGATCCTATGGGGACAATGGCAATGACCCAGACACTGCTGCTCAGAAAAACGCACTCCGTAAAATTTGTAGAACTCCTTGTATGGCTGTCTGCTACTTTAACTACTGGCATAAAAGCTGTAAAAAATTTCTTTCTAATTCTAACATATTGATCACAAGCTCTTACAATGACTTTTCTAAATGAGCTGTTACAAGATAATAGCTTCCATGTCTCTGTGAGCTACTAGTGGAACTCAATAATTTTCTCTTTTGTCTCTTTTTTCAGATTTTTTGGAATGCCTTCTTTTTGATCTCAAGTTTCTCCATATCCATTGTTAGTTTTCTCTTCAATACCCACCTCTTTTAACTATTGGCTTATTGTTATATCTGGATTTCCTTATTTGTTGTGCCTATTCTCTTTGCTTTTCATCAGTTTTATCTTCCTGTTCTATTCTGGTTGCATTTCTAGAAAAGTACTCTCACTTTTAGAAGGTAAGACTTAAACATTTCTGTGACTGATAAATTGTCCCAAGACTTTTTGTTATTAAACATCTTAAAATTGTATAGAGATGCTTTATTACTTCAATCAGATGAGGAATGAATAAATGCCCCAAGAACAACACAGTACTGTCTTATTATTTAGCATGCAAAACACTATGCCCAGATATCCTGATCAGATGAAATTAGGGAACTGAATGCAACATAGATTCAATTCACTTAATATTACTATAACTATATAATATTACTATAACTAATTTTAGTAGGTATAGTAGGAATGTTTACCAGGAAACAAGCAAGTAAAACAGAAAATAGAAAATTTGACAGAGTAGTGCATTTCATTCAAGAAGATAAATTTAATAACTGAAGTAACCTTCAGCTGCAGCTCCTGAGTCTTTTAGGTTTGAGGTAGAAACAAATACAGGAATTACAAATTCCTTCATCTTTGGACACTCACTTAAAACATATCACAGTGGCCTTGAGACATTATGCCACAAGCCACCTTAAGGCAAGCCTGAAGACCAGCTGAAAGGTTCAGACAGATCAACATGCAGCTTCTTGTCTTTCTTAACATAGATGAGATCAGCTCAACCAATTTCTGTGCTTGTTGTTTGGTTTCTTTTCAAATCCTACTCCAAAATATTGTCATATGTGCCTTGAAAGGATTGTTAACTACTTTTGAAGGATCATCTATCATGCTGCACATTACCAGGGAAACCTCACCCTTAACTTTGTAAGATAAAAGAGCCCAGATTCAAACTTACCAAGTGTGGACTCAGGGAATTCCTATTAAATGGATCCTGGATGGAAAAGTAGTGTTTGCTGGAGTTTTGCTGCCTCTGGGACATCCCTTTTGGTAAGTCTTCCTGATGAAAGAAGCTGTGAACTGGCTCTGATATACACCCTCAGAAATAACAAGAAGTATTTTATATCTCTGAAATGAGCAACTTTTAATCTCTGGGAGATAGTTTACGTAACAGATCCATTGACTATCTAGGGAAAATGGTGAACTTCTAAAGCTTCATAGTATCTTGCTGATACAATCTATTGTAGTGCCAGGAGAATATTGGTGCAAAAGACTGAAGAAACAGTTCTGACACTATTGTGCTGAGATTATCAGAATTGCTAAGAAAACTGACACAAAAAACTGGTAATGTGTAGGTTTCAAAGCTGGTTTAATGTAGTGTTTTTAGAAGATTAAAGACAAGGACTAAGAACAAGCACTTCTTTTTAAAAGACCTTTTATTGAAAAGAATGCCCATGATACGTCTTATCCACTCCAGTATTTTATCTGTCATTTATTTAAAATTATATATATATATATATATAATCCAAAATAAAAATGATAAATGAGGCAGCATTCCTTAGAAGAAGCATAAAAGCTTTTTTTTTTTCCCCTGGACAGATAGTTTTCCAACTCAGTATCTTCATTATTCAGTATCTTTATTATTGTAAACAGAAAAATACTTAAAGGAGGTTCTGAACTGCAAAAGAACACACCAGACATTGGTCTGTGGTTCTTTTGCATGTGTATAACATAAAAAATATTTAAGAGACAGCTTCTGCACAGATGAGATTGTTAAAATCTTATTTTTCAGACAACACCTGAGGCCCTACTCTGAAGCTTATGCTAGATAGCTAGTTGGGAAAATGAATATGCAGGTCACTATAACTGAGCAGCTAGACATTTATCTTGCATGCATGGCACACTGATTTAGAAGGCTTCGAGAAGTCTCATTACAAGCAAGTGTTAAATACTAAAAGTTAGTCTGTGAGCCAGACAGAATTCAGAGAACCAGAGATAATGAGACTATAAAGATGATATGTAGCTAGCAACAGTTGTGGCTTGCTTAGTGATACATGTAAACACAGTCTGGTTGGACACTTAACAGGATAAATGTGGAAAAAGTAGAAAGGATAAAGCAAACAGTACATCAAATGGTTTGTGGGCAGTTTTCAGTACATGCATGTTCTCCATTGATGCTAAGAAGAAATAACAAGCCGTAACTACTATTTGCAGAATGAAAGCATTCAAGTTTTTCCCACTGAAAAGATACCTGCTCCTGTTACCCTTTCTCCAGTGTTATTGTTTGTTCTATGTAATGTGCAGCTCTCAGGATCCATGCTGGCTTTAATTCTTCAAAGGCGGTTCCTTCCCTACTTTCCTGCCCTAACACCATTGTCTTCTCTCCTCTCTTCACTTCCTCAGGTGGCTCAGTCAGAGATAAGATTAAAAAAAAATTGCTGGAATGACAGAAAATTGTAGTAATTCTGTACAGGAAAGTATGTTAGGTGTCTAAATCAGAAAACCTATAAAAATTGAATTGTTCAATGAGAAAAAGTCTCTAGGAGTAAGCCCTGAGCACGTTAGCTGGGGAGGCTGCAGAGTCCTTGTGACAGAAGGCAGTAAATTATGTGTAGGGCAATTAGCTGTTAGGGATGACACAGATTCAGCTCACTATGCTTTAGAGAGATATGGACTCAAGAAATTACTGCATTTTGTACCATCTCAATGAAAATAATTTGAATAAAACTAAGACCATAATTTTATTCTCAAGCAAGCTATTTTCTGAGCAGGTATTAAAATCACTGTGTTTGGGCTTTCTTGTTTGTTTGCTCTTGTCTATTATTAATTATACATTATGTTTGTGGAAATCTCTGTGTAATTATACAGTCCTCATATTAATTTTAGCTGTGGTCTTTGGCATTTAGATATCTGCATATCTATTTGCTGTTTTTGTTATATTCTTCTTTTTGTATACCCACTAGATTTGACAGGAAGTCCCCTAGAATGAGGAATAATGCAATTGCTATTGATACAATACCTGTAGCTCATCTTAGTCATGGTAAGGTTTTACAAGGTTAAATTAAAACACATGACACCTAAAATAATTTTATTTATTAAAATT